CACTGATTTTTTTTTCCACAATAATAGTGGGAAGCGCAGATCTACTTTATGTAGAGATACAACCATATCAACAATTTTTGAGAGATGAATCAATAGAAGATTTTTAGAGATTTTTTTTCTTTTTATATTTACCTTAATTATAATTGTAAGGGCAATTTCGTCATATTTTTGTTTCTCTATTTTTGGATCAATATATTTTTGGACATGTTACTTACATAATTTTTACCCCCAAAAGTAATATTCTCCTAATTAACCCTTGTTATAATTACTATATTTTTTTACGTGTCCATATAGGCAAAAAAAATTTAAGACATTTAAGTTGTAAAATATTCATTTAATACACAAAAAACGATATGCTTTTTATGACTAAAAATAAAATTAAATTAGAATAAAAAGGGGAGAGACTCTGAAAATAAAAAAAATTAATAAATGTAAGACTACACAAGATTTTAGTAGTAATATGATAATATTAATTTATTTTTTACCAAATATATATATATATTTAAAATTATTATGTATGTATATATATATATATAATACACATAATAACACACAAAATGTGTTTATGAATTTATAATTGAAACAATTAGTAAAAATCAACTGACGTAACCATACATCTAAAATGTTAAAAGTAAAAGAATATTTCTAATAGTATTTTAACATACATAATAATTTTAAATATATATATATATATTTAAAATTATTATGTATGTATATATATATATATAACATAATAACAAACAAAATGTGTTTTTTGAATTTATAGTTGAAACAATTAGTAAAAATCAACTGACGTAACCATACATCTAAAATGTTAAAAGTAAAAGAATATTTCTAACAGTATTTTTAAAATCTATATATTTCATGAAATATGAGAGTTTTTTTTTATTAAAAGGTTTTTAGCTCAATAAAAATAAAATCTTACATTTAATCCAACTTCATTTTTTTTAACCAAATATTTAATTTAAAAATGATCTTAACTCTTTTATTTGTCAACCTATTAGGAAATAATAACTTTTAAAAAATAGTATCATAAAATCTCAAATATTTTTCTACAATGAACAAACCCCATCAATTTTTAATTAAATTTATTAATCATTTTCTAATCAGTTTTTGTAGTATGATTACTTATCATTTTTGTTTGTCATTTATCTTCGTCTCGTGAGTTTATGAATCCGGAGGAAGAGATGTAATGAAGTTTTTCTTTTATGACAAACATATAAAAAGAACAAGGTAAAGCTCTGTTTCTCGTTATGTAAGAACATTGTATTACATCATTACAGTGCATAGCTTGCGATGCACGGTTTAGTACTGTATTGGGGAGATGACACGGATCCATGTCTCCTCAAAAGCACTGTACATGCGCACAGCAGAAGGTCCAGTATCTGTTGGAGGTCTTCGGGTGATACCGACATTTCACCATGTAACAGGTGGGCGCCAC